TCAACTACGACGCCCTGACGGCAGGTCTGCCGAAGCAGACCACAACAACCATGGGGTTGCTCCACGGTCCACTCTGCTATCAGAGAAGTACCAGGAGCAACCCGCATGGTACACCACCCTCCGAAGAAGGCCGCCTCCCACCGCCCACCGAAGCGGGCCACCTCCCTGTGCGTTTCTTGGCTTCGCGAGTACACTACTGAGCCCCCCCACCACGACAAGGTGAACGCACGTTGGGGGGGATGTATATGATCCCTTGAAGGGATGGGAAAAAGGAAAACATCGTAGATAAGATGAAGGAGTACAGGAAAACTAAAAAAAAAGCATATGGAAGTATCTTCATTTATGTCACATTATCAATTTGTAGTAAGCGAGATATATTACACAAAAAAATAAGAACGAAATAATGATTTTTATTTTTCTCTACCATGAAGTAAAGTCTCGTGTGTTTAATGAATGTCTCACTGCCGTTTCACTTGGGTTCGTACGTTTTATGTACCTATTAGTATGGAATAGATAGTCGATCCCTTGATCTGCGAAAAACAAAAACAAATCTATCCCACGCAAACCGTACATTTTTCCGGGATAAAATTATCCTATGTGCTATTCCAGGCTATAATCTTTCTCCGTGCCAAATTTCATTTAGATCCGTTCATACGTTCTAGCGTGATTGAGTAACAAATCATCATCATCTATGCAAACTTTCACATTTATAATATTTATAGGATTGTCAGCCCAACATCACCCCTCACAAGCCCGGCCGGTAGAAGCTAGAGATAGGTCTAGGAGGCGATAATTGGAGAAGGCTTTTACCGCACGAGTGGTGCTTGCAGCCAACATAAAATAAATATATATAAAACAAAAGAAAATATATATATATATATATATATATATATATATATATATATATATATATATATATATATAACTATATATAATATATATATAGTTCTTGCTTTGTTGTTGTTCTTGCTTCCCAATACAAACTTTCAACCCCATTTTCACCCCCTTAAGGGATGATTTCCGGGATAAAAAGTATCCTATGTCCTTCCTAGGGTTTCAAACTATCTTCTTACCAAATTTCACCTAAATCGATTCAATAGATCCAGAGATTACCCCCTACAATGTCACAAACTCACAATTCACAAACTTTACCTCTTTATATTATTAGTATAGATTAAAAAAATAGTTAATAGTATAGATTAAAAAAAAAATAGTTAAAAAAAAAACGAATATAAAAATTCTGTTATTAAGTTGCAAGAAGTAAAAGCTTATTTATTTATTTATCATTTAAGCCCAACATTACACGATATTAATTCTTTATAAATTTAGAAACATTTTCTTATAAAAAAAATCTTAACAGTTTTTACAAATTGCTCTCAAATATCGTTGAAGCTTTTAAAAGTTGCTCCTAAGTAGACTTGAACTAGTCGAGCTTTGTTGATTCCTATGAATTGTTATTGGAAGCATATGCAAACAACTTTAAAAGAAATTTTATTGAACGACAAAATATAATAGTCCGACTTTTTCTGTACTTTCAAAGAATACATTCAATTTTTTTACGGTATTGTAAGATCACAGATAAATAACTTATAAGTATTTGTTTTCTCTATTTATTCATTTTTTTTCTTAAATATTGTGATTGTACGTGTACTAATATGTATCACACATACATGTATATAAAAACATACCAAATTCCATCAAAATCCGTCAGTGGTTTTCCCAGACACACAGATTGACAGACAAAAATTCTAAAAACTACACATTTGGCCTCTGTATCTATAATAATGACTATTTCAATAAGATTATCCAGAAATTATTTCATGTGTAGATTCTATTCAGTTAGAATTTTATTATATGTAAAGATTATAGTCTACTTATCCATAAAGCTGAGCAATACTCTCAAGAAATTGACCACTCTCTAGAAAGAGAGGCAGTGAACGTGCAGCCAATGCCGTATAATAATTTTAATTTATAAATGAAATGTAGAAAAAAATATAATACTATTTTTTATTAAAAATTATGGAATATTATGGAAAAATTATTATAAATATTTATCTTCGTTAATCGTATTTCAATAAATACAGAAGACTTCTGGCCGCACATTCGTTTTGTCTTTGTCGCGCCTTTCCACCATTTTTAGCTGATGGCTAGCAAAAAAAAAAAACCCTCAGTCCATTCTCCCATAGAATAGAATGAGATGAGGTAGAAAATTACATTATTTCTTCGGTTAAAAACAAAATACTTTGACGATATCTTAAAATTCACTAACACGTGAGTAAAAACATCTGTCAGTCGGGATGTATTCCGCGTAGAGTAAATACCGTAATGGTGTTTTCAGTTGAGTGGAGAGCATCCATCATAATCTATGAGACTGGCAGCAATGTGAGCAAAAAAATCGCGTAAGTGAAATTTTTATTCACATTTTTTAGTATGATAAACTTTGTTAATATCTACATATATACATTATACATACTAATATTAATGGGAAAATGAGTTTGTGAGTTCATTCTTCTTCCACGCAGCAAGCGTACAATATATTAAGGAGATTATATGTATCTGTTTGTTTATATATATATATATATATATATATATACATATATATATATATATATATATATATATATATATATATATATATATATATATATATATAAGTGGATAATGGATTAACGTTCTCTCTTTCAGTGACGGCCACATTGTAATGTTTTAAAGCTATTAGAATCCAGAATCCGGTCAATAAACTGAGTTTAATTTACTTAAATCTCGTCACGTTGATTATAAATACTTTTTATCGAGTATCAAATCAAGTCGACTAAAATAGCAGTAATCCATTTTAATCACCATCAATAGACAATCTCCGTATTTGTGTATGGTGCTGAAACTTGGTGCATTGATAGCTACAATGGTAAGATGGATGACTATATAGGTAGGATTTGCGAGATGAGTGTGCATGGAATAATATTTAAGAATAAAAGAGGAGGTATGTAAGAATTTTAAGAATGGAGTGGAATGAAATAGATAAATAAAAGAAAAGAAGGATGTTGTGTGATAATGGCGACACGACGATTCGCGTGAACATTGTTTTGTAATATTTTAATATAATAAATAGTGAATAGTGTTATATAAATGCTTTTAATAGTATCCTCGGATCCTACATTTATACGTACCGTGGACCGCTAAGATGACCAATAATTCCATTTTTGCCAAACTAAGATCACAATATATAAGATCACAACTGTCGAAACAAGGCCCTTAGGCTCTTCGCATACACTATACGATCACCCAAGCATCGTTGAACTGATCGGGCTGGAAGAAAATTATCAGTGGTCATGACCCTCATTAGGGAGGGAATGAGGAAAATAACCATACTACAGGAAAAAATAAACAAAACAGACTTTTCTTAAACAAATTACGAACACCGAGGATAATATCATATTTTAAGGAAAGTAGGTACTTATCCAATTTGGTAAATATGTTGGCTTATTTTAGCCATACCTACGCAGTTTACCGCATCGATCATGATAGATAGCTCTGCTAGAATTAAAATTGTCATCAGTTTTTTTTTTTACTTTTATTGTAATTTTTGCCTATTTGGTAAGAATATGTTGTATTTTTAGGTGTATATTTTCTTATATCATATATTTTTCTTCTTATGGGTAAATTCACTAATACATGTCGTAACGATAAATTATGTAAGTGACCAAAAAAAAATTGTAATATGAATTAGTTTTAAAATGTTTTTGTACCTTGCCATATGTACGTGAGCAATTATGAGGACGATATTTATATACAAAAAAAAATTATTTAAGTTTTTATAGTCTACACCGTTTTACGTCGCACAAAAATGAGTAGTGACGATAAAACGATGTCACAAGCCAAGGGAAGCAAGAAATTAAAAAAAACCGGTTGGGAAAATTATAGAAATCATATGTGGAACATATTTTTTTTACATAAAAAGCCATATGTTAATTTTACAATCAATGAGCAGATAGACATAGCTTAATTTGACAATTAATCAATAATTAAAGCCGTAACCCAATCACAGTGAAACGCTCAATAATTATAAATTATTATGAAATAGCTGCGTCACTCCTTTGTGGAGGTTGAATATTAATATTGCATGGAGAACTTACCAAAACCTTATGTACATACATAACTTCAATTTATAATGAAATTGATCTAGCGGGAACTTAACATTCTCATGTAAGTAAAAATATAAACCACAAGCTTTGTTTAAACTGATCATGGATGATTGCCTCACTAGCATGTACGGCTGCAGATTTGGAATTGGAGATTTGTAGTCTGGGTTCGAGTCCCAGGTCGGGTCATGTTTGGTTATTTAATTTTCTTCCAGGAAATTATCAGTTCGTAGTCGGGAAGTTGGCAGTGTTACACCACTTCTGTGCCTCGGAGTAAACGTAAAGCCGTCGTTCCTGAGTCTAATCGGATACTTGTGCACTACAATATCTCATGTGTATTTGGCTAACCTTAGTGAGATTGGTAACTATGGCCAAGATCGATCAAAAAGATATTTTAAACGACTTCAGACTTACATATATATCATTAGTTAAAACTAAAAAATATTTATTGGATGTATCGTTTCTAGGACTCTTTGCCTTAAATTGATTAAGAGTAAATCAGGGCCAGAAGAAAGAATCAGGATTTACGCCAGTTTATCTAATCAGATATGTTCATCTGTAAGACCTTTTTTGGTTGAGACGTATTACAGAGTAATTAAGTTGGGGGAATTTATGTTAACCTATTAGTATGCTGTAGTCAGTACACAAAAGTTCCTGACAGGGTTCCATTGTGGAGTCTCACAGTCAGTGCTTAGATGGCCGACAGGCAAGCCATGACGGATTTCCAGAGCGATATCAAAGTAAAAAGTATCATGAAAATCAAATTTTTAGAACTCAAAGAAAAATTACCATATAAAAACAAAACAAAATAATTGTCGTTATTATTTATTGTCCAAAAGTTATTGAAAAATTATAATTTTAATGACAAAACCTTTGAGTTTGGAAATATCTCACTTCAGGTTCTATAGATTTGATAACTTCATTCAATTCAGCCGTAGAAGGATTTCTCTTTTTAGACAGCAGCCACTTCTCATTACCTCTCAGTTCACATCTTTGATACAGCATATATTCGTCATTTACTTTTCTATAAACTCTTGCTTCATAACTATCTTCTCGGTAAAATGTTGTGTTAGGATCGGAAACATAAAATCTCGTTGCTGTTTTTCCCATCAACATACCAAAAAAAAAATTATCATTAATCAGTACTGGATTGTCGTTAAAAGAGTAAGGGTTGTCCAATCTGTAATATGCTCCCGAATACCTCTGTACTTCAGATTGGTTAGCCCTAGTCACTACACTTTCTCGGCAAGACGAACTTGGTGGTAAGTTTAAATTTGGTGCGAATTTGAAAACATCATACCAAGTTCCAAGAAGATCATCGTTACTGGCAGTATCCGAGTAAGTATTGGCACAAGCTCGATCAACGTCGCTCAAAGAAACTACATATCTAAAATATATCAAAATAACAAATAAGTTAAACAAACGAAACATCTTGACTTGATTGATATATAATAATTGAAATCGTTTCCGAATAATATTTATATACTCAATCGCGCCTATCCACTTTGTGTTTTGATAAGATTTATTGATAAATAACAATGTTGCTTATCAATGAATTAGTTAAAACAAAATCAATTGTCTGTTAGTCCTTTACACTCTTCCCGCTTTAAATAAAATATATATAAAAATGTTTGATTGTTTGTCTGTTTATAATGTATGTTACCTGTTTACCGTTCATCATATTGTAATGTGATTAGTGAGCTGTTATGGATAATTAGGTGGTAATTAGGTGGTGGGCAGTAGGTAGCAAACATGTTTTAATGGTTTTAATGGAATTTATCACCATATATATTTTTTAGTTAAAATTAATGTCTGTATTCAGCCCTTTTTTAACGTCCCACTGCTGGGCACGGGCCCCCCTTCAATACGATGGGCATAAGGCCATAGTCCGCCACGCTGGCCAAGTTAGGATTGGTGGACTACGCATGTCTTTCGAAAATTTACTGAGTTCTCTCAGAAATCAAGACACGCGGTAGCGTGTCCAGCCAAGTTCAAACCAAATTAACTGGTGACGCAGCACCGTGTGTATATTTACACGAACTATTTGAAGCCACTTTTCACCTCGTAATAACTCAAAATCTATTTAACGTAAACTCATGAATTTTAGTTAATTTATTAAATCCGCTTAGACGAACTGGAATCTCCAATTTCATAAATACATCTCAAACGGTTATTGTGATATTAACGTGTAAAAATCTGCATTTTTATCACTGACTGACTGACGTATAGTAGTAAAACCTAACACACTTCTAGATGATCTAGAAAGTTGAAATTTGGTGTCCAGATGGGTAATCGTAAGCATACAAAGGAAAAATCTTAAAACAAGAAATTTTTAAAATTAAAAAAAAAAATTATTAACACCTTGAGCTGTCCAAAACATAATTGCAATAGCTTTTATGTTTTGGGCCTAGATCCCTTTGAAATATAATAGCAATTGCAATCATAGTAATAGCAAAAACTTTTTCTTTCTCGGGAGAAAAGGTTCCATGATGATTAAATAACATTTTCCTATTCCACCTTATCCACTAACGAATAGTCGCAAAATTATGAAAAAAAAGATGGAATTTACATGTCTCTTTGGAATTATGAATAATAATAGTTTCTTTACAAAAAGTCGTGATATCCGATCAAAAACATAAATGTGAAAAAGGAAGCCAAGTTCAATATTAGGAATAAGCGTGGCTGTCAACTTCAGCGACAAAAGAATTGATAACTAAATGGGTGCCAAGATAATCCTGATTTTTTTCATAAGGACATACAACATTCTAAAATAAATTTAATACACATTTTTTTGTTTTTTTCTGCTACTAAAGTGTTTTTGATTTGGTTTTTGACTGACAAACTTCTATGGAATAGCAGTTCGATACGACCGGTGACAGATCAGGTGCAGGACCGACGGTTTTAAATGCTCTTTTAAGGCACGAATGTAAAGCAACTACAATTTCCTAACTCCGGGCTGTCAATGAGACTCTTTGGCGGAAAAATTTGGCTTGACCCGAGTCTCGAACTCAGGGCCCCCACATCTGAAGCCGTACATGCCAGTCACTAGTCCACTTATACATGCTAAAACAAACTCCAGAATAACTGATTCTTCCATTCAAAATTATATTAATATCTTGTATAAATTACTTCTGAACTGACTGTTCATCAATTGATTTATTTTCATACTATTAACATAAAAACAAAACAAATTAATTGTCATCATTATTTATTGTCCAAAAGTTATTTAAAAATTAAAATTTCAAGCACAAAATCTTTGAGTTTGGAAATCTCTCACTTCAGGTTCTATAGATTTGATAACTTCATTCAATTCAGCCGTAGAGGGATTTCTCTTTTTAGACAGCAGCCACTTCACATTACCCCTCATCGCACATCTATGAAACAGCATATATTCGTCATTTATTCTTCTATAAACTCTTGCTTCATAACTATCTTCTCGGTAAAAAGTTGTGTTAGGATCGGAAACATAAAATCTCGTTGCTGTTTTTCCCATCAACATACCAAAAAAAAAATTATCATTAATCAGTACTGGATTGTCGTCAAAAGAGTAAGGGTTGTTCAATCTGTAAGCTTCCGAATACCTCTGTACTTCAGATTGATTAGCCCTAGTCACTACACTTTCTCGGCAAGACGAACTTGGTGGTAAGTTTAAGTTATGTGCGAATTTGAAAACGTCATACCAAGTTCCAAGAAGATCATCGTTACTGGCAGCATCCGAGTAAGTATTGGCACAAGCTCGATCAACGTCGCTCAAAGAAACTACATATGTTAAATATATCAAAATAACAAATAAGTTAAACAAACGAAACATCTTGACTTGATTGAAAATTAAAATTCTTTCCGAATGATATTTATATTCTCAATCGTGGCTATCCACTTTGTGTTCTGATAAGATTTATCGATAAATAACAATATTGCTTATCAATGAATTAGTTAAAACAAAATCCATTGCCTGTGAGTGTTTTACACTACGCACTTTAAATAAATATATAAAAAAGTTTGATTGTTTGTCTGTTTATAATATATGTTACCTATTTACCGATTATCAAATTGTGACGTGACTAAGTGAGCTGTTATGGTCATGTATAAGTTGCTTTGATATATATTTGATACATAGGTGTATTTAGTTATGTGTACGTAGATCTACAATGTTTTCATGGTTATCATAATATATTGTTTTTTAAACTAAAATTGATGTGTAACAATACAATATACCTATTGTTATTCTTTATATGACACATTTATAATTACTAGTGAACACCCAGTTATCAAAAATCGACCATAATATTTTTTATGAGTGTTAAAGCTTTAGTGTTAAAGCACGTCAATAGCTACTAAACAAAAAAAGAAATATTTTGACAAACAGAGGAGGAAATAAACGGACCAAATTCCAATATTTTTCCAATACGATTTACCACTTGGAATTAACTTACCTATGTAACATTATATTTAGAGTTTTAAAGTATATGTCTATATGTATAACTATATCTATATACATATATGTATAAATAGGCAAAGACAAAATAGTTATCTTTTTACTCCTCTGTTTGTCAACCGATTGTCTTTATTTCTGTTAGGAGCTATTAAGGAGCTATAGTGTCATCAATAAAAAAAATGGAAACGGTTTTTTTTATACAGATAGGTAAATTATGTTCATAATATGTATATGTTTTCCTCAAATTTTCAATAATAATAATGGGCGAATTTTGAATTTTTAATATTAGGGTTCCGTGCACAAAGGGTAAAACGGGACCCGGGACTAAGACTCCGCTGTCCGTCCGTCTGTCTGTCTGTCCGTTTGTCACCAGGCTGTATCTCATGAACCGTAACAGTTAGTCAGTTGAAATTTTCACAGATGACGTATTTCTGTTGTCGCTATAACAACAAATACTAAAAAACAGAATAAAATAAGTATTTAAGGGGACTCACACACGACAAACTTCATTTTTTTACTCGTTTTTGCTCCATATTGATAACGGTAACAGATAGACGCTTGAAATATTCAAACTTGAAATATATACATATTTAGTTATATATTCACTTTAAAAATGAGTAATTAAATTAAAATAAAATAAATATTTAAGGGGGGCTCCCATAGGACAAACGTGATTTTTTTTGCCGTTTTTATAGATAATGGTACGGAACCTTCTTGCGCGAGTCCGACTCGCACTTGGCCGGTTTTATTGATTAATTACGATCACAATACGTGATCATTGACACGAATGACAGATTATGAGTTTTTATTAAGTTTTTAATAATGTAAGACTGATTAGCGCACAAACAAAACTGATAAGTGCGAGTCTGACAAGTGCACCACCAACTAGGACTAGTATGATTTTTTTTTATTTTTTATTTTTTTTTAATTAGGATCTCTATCAAAAGATACACACAATATACAACATCATATAAAAACAAAAAGCAAATAAGACTTACAACACGTGTGCTCCTTCACTTATAGGAGACCACAGCTTGCTCATTAGTGTATTTTATGTTATAACTAAGTATAAACTAAGAAAAAATTAACGGCTAGAAACAAATCTGAAACTATTTATAGAGTTACGAGAAAAGAAACAAATCATATTACAACACATTTAAACATTTCTACTAAAGTTACGATAAGAATTTAGTAAGACTACTTTAAAATTCAAACATATTAATGGAAAAGATATCTAATTCAACATGTTGTTTATAAAGCGTATTGTACTGTCTACAGATCCTTGGAATAGCGGCGTGATATCTCAAATTCGTTTTGCACAATTTTTAATGAATAGGTATGACACTAAGAGCGAAACACATTGAAACTATTTTGAATAGGTATGAATTAACATAATAATCATACTGTTTTATATTTATCTTAAATTGATCAGTATTTAATAAAAAAAAATCAAAAGTTGCTGCTTCATGAGTTTGCTTTCGAAAATCTTTATTATTTACATAAGTATTAAAATTGTAATATTTAGATAGCTAAAAGATTAAATGGGCTGTGTCTGAAAATTTTCGAGGGCTGAGCGTTCGGGCAAACAAAATTTAAACGACATAACTATATATACGTTTAACAAACCTAACAGTAAATTATATCAAGATGTTGTTGCAAGTCTTTAATGTACACTTTACTAACCACAATCACGCTATTTGTGTGTTTGTGGGTATGTGCGTGTGTGTTTTATTACACCTTCATGCTGAAAGGACGAATTTAGATGAAATTTCGTAGTCTATGTATGAGCCGGAGTGACACATACTTCTAGTAAAAAAAAATCTAAAAGGTGACGCTACCTGTATACATATCTATACATATGACAAAATTCTAACTAAGTCAAATCTGTACATTAAATATTTTTTGGAAAATCTTATTGAAATAGACATTATTATCGATACAGAGGCCGAATCTATAGTTTTTAGAATTTTTGTCTGTCTGTCTGTTAACGCATCACAGAAAAACCATTGGAGGGATTTTGATGAAATTTGGTATGGTGATAGCTGGTTAGCCGGGTCAACATATAGGATACTTTTTACCGCGGGAAAATATCTCATTTCTGAGAAACAATACAAAAAGTGCATTGTAAGTGTATTATAATATGTAAAACCTATGAATTTGGTTCTTGGTCATCTGAACGCGTGCGGAACCGCGGGCAGTGCTAGTAATATTATAAATACTAAATTCACCCAAGGACAATCAATGACTATTAGATTATCATATCTCTGTAGATAATGCAATTTACGCTAATGATATTGCACAGACTGATAATTTTATTTG